GAATCAATATAAAGGGACAACAGTGACTTACATATGTTCCTCAAGGGCTTTGGAGGGGTTGTGAGGGAACAGGCAACTGCGGTCACTGACTCAGAGTCCGGGCCTCCCTCTTATCTGTCTTGGTTATCTTGCGCTCAACTGTAAGTCCCTATTTATCTGTATCCCTGCTCCAGACTTTGTTGCATTGACTCTGTTTTTGTTTTTCTGGGACAGTGTTTTTCTAGCATCTCTTGCTGTCCTGGAACTCACTTTATAGACCAGGCTGATCTTAAACTCAGAGATCTAACTGCCTCTACCCTCCAAGTGCTGAGTTCAAGGGTGTGGTCCACCATGCCCCACTTCTCGCAACCTCCTTTTGAACCCCAGTCTCACCACAACAGATGAGCAACTTTTGGGTTTCACCATGGGCCCATTCCCCTTATACTTCATACAGAGACAAAGTTCCTCCATCAGTGGAAAATTATTTTCTGAGCACAGCATCTTTTTTGTACAGTTACACTATGTTTATAGAGACCATATATATTGCATTTGAAATTCAAACATATTTTATTCTTTGACAAGCTTGTACTTGTGAGCAATGTATCTTGCTCATATCTTCTCCAGAGTCCCTCCTCACAGTCTCCCTGGGCACTGCCAACATATCCCCTCCACCTTCCATGACCTCTCTTTTTGTTCATAGCCCACTGAGTCCAATTAGTGCTCTTTTGGAATGCTGACTAATTTTGATGGCTTGATGTTGTGCAACAGCTTCAGTATAGGTAACTGTTACTACAGTATAGGTAACCATAGCTTTAGTATAGGTATCTGTTGCTACTGTATAGGTAACCATAGCTTCAGTATAGATAACTGTGACTACAGTATAGGTAACCATAGCTTCAGTATAGGTAACTGTGACTACAGTATAGGTAACCATAGCTTTAACATAGGTAACTGTTACTATAGTATAAGTAACCATAGCTTTAGCATAGGTAACTGTTACTACAGCATAGGTAACCAGAGTTTCAGTATAGGTAACTGTTGCTTCAGTGTAGGTAAGCATGGCTTCAGTACAGGTATAGCTATTCCTGCAGTGCAGGTAACCGTAACTGTAGTGAGTTTATGAGTGCAGTGGTCCTGATGTATAAAGACGACAGCACAGCGCTCCTCCCCATCCTCCTTTTTCCATCCCGTCTTCTGGGCTGTGGGACATGGGTTGATAAGGATGCCCCATTTAGGGCTGAATACTCAATAAGTCACTAGTTTCAACACTTTGGCTGATTATGAGTCTCTGCATTAACTGATGAATAAAGTTTTTCTGGCCAAGACTGAGGGTATACTAATCTATGTCTATAAGCATAATTATCTAGAGGGCATTTCGACGGCATGTCTATTTAGCAGAGTATTAGGTTCCTTCCTAAGGCATGAGACCTCCCAAGTTGTAACATGAGGGCCGGCTTGTTGGAGTTTCTGTTCCTGCCCGGTACCCTACAGCCGGCAACTCCCAAGGAAAATCAACCACACAGAGATCTCTATCAGTTATAAAGCTGATTGACCCATTAGCTCAGGCTTCTTGTTAACTCTTACAGCTTATATTAACCCATTATTCTGATCTATGTTAGCCACGTGGCTTGGTACATTTTTCAGCTGTCAGCTTACATGTTGCCTCTTCGGTGGTCTGGGCAGAACTGCCGAGGGAGCTTCCTGCTTCCCAGAATACTCCCAGTCTCTTTGCTCCACCTCTACTTCCTGTCTGGTTTTCCCGCCTATACTGCCTGCCTGGCCAATCAGCGCTTTATTAAAATATGATTGACAGAATACAGACAATTCTCCCACACCACCAAGTCTTGGGATTTTCATCAGATTTACAGTACCAGGGATGAAATCCTCCCAGTGGAGCAAGCCTCAAATCCACTCCATAAGCAGTTGCCAAACCCTTATTGTTCCAATGGCACACCCTGTTTGTCAGACGGATATGGTAGAAGGTAGGGCGCACAGCTAGCTAATGCTATCTGGTTTTGGTTTCCTGTGAAGTACATTGGTATAAACTAAAATTGTTTTGTTTATTCATTTTGCAGAGCTGGAAATTGGACCCAGGTTTGGTGCTGCCAGGCAAATGCTTTGCCGTGAAGCTTTAACTCCACAAAAAAGTATTGTTTTGGACATTGTTTACTTTGAAAAATACAATAATATTTAGAAAAGCATAGACTATATACATATAAATAAATGAGGGGTTCCTATGGAATGAATTCACTTTATAGTAAGGTATATCAGCACAGAGTGAAAACATATATAACCATAAGAATTATAAAATGTCTGGCCTGAAGGAGTTGGGTCAGTGGTTAAGGGTACTTGTTATTCTTGGCAGAGGCTGCAGGTTTGATTCCTGGTACTCACACAGCAGTTTACAACCAGGGGGGGCTGATGTGCTCTTCTGACCTCTGAAGGCACCAGGTACACACATGATGCTGAAATGTACATGCAAGCAAAACACTCATACCTATGAAATAATACATAAATAGATCCAAAAAGAATGTTTTTAAAAGAATTATAAAATGGAAAAACTATGAATGTTTTGTCCTTGCCACTAAAGAAAAAAATACATATTTTGAAGTTTTACTCACAGTAATAAAGTTTTAGTTCGGGGATTACACAAATTTATCTCTCTCCCTCTCTCCCCCTCCTCTTCTCCCCTCCTTCCCTTTCCCTGTTCTTGCAAGTGTGTGTGTGTGTGTGTGTGTGTGTGTGTGTGTGTGTGTGTGTGATGGGTGTATACACATGTTTTCGGATGAACTTTCCAGTGTGTGCATTCGCACAGAGAGGTCAGATCTCAGTGTTGAATGTCTTCCTCAACTGCTCCCCAGCTTGTTTTTGAGAGTGAGTCTCTCACTGCATATGGAGCTCACCCTTTTGGCTAGAAAGGCTGGCCAGTAAGCACCGGAGACCTGCCTGTCTGCCTCTCTAGCACTAGCGTGACAGAAGCACGCCACCATGCTCAGCGTTTGCACGGGTGCTGGGGTTCTGAATTCACGTCACCACGTTCGCAGAGAAAGCACATTTACTCACTGAGCTGCCTTCCCAGCTGATCACACAACCTTCTCATTTCAAGACTCATTTCACAAATGCGGAACATGATGTTCTACCAACACCACATGTATAACCTGACATCAAATGAGGATGATGAAGTGTTATGCAATTGGATGAAACATCTCCTCCTGGAGGGAGGAAGGAGAGTCAGAAGACTCAAGAAGTAAATAAAACTTAAGGACCAGGCTTGGTAGTAGTGTGAACATTTACTCCCGGCAGTATCCAGGGTGGCAGAGACAGGTGGGTTTCCATGAGTTCAAAGTCAGCCTGGTCTACGTTGTTCTGGACCAGCCAAGGCTCCATAGTGAAATCCTATCTAGAAAACAAAACAAGAAAACAAACAAAAAATCCAAAGCAGCAGCAAAATTGCTCAGGAAGCTCCAGAAATGTATAAGATTCATAAGCCCTTGCTATTCCCTCCCCCAAGGTTAGAAAAGCAGTGAACACCCTCTGCTGAGATGAAGTGTTCCTGAAGGCCAAGCTGTCTGTGGATTGTGCCGGGAGATGTAGGCATGCAGCTTTTCTGAGCTGTTACCTGGCCTTTCTTCACTCATGCTTCTGTGAGTTACCCCTCATTTATGCTCTTGTAAGTGACTGCAATAAAGTAAATTAAGACATACTTGGCAGGGATAATTTCTTTTGTCTGTCATCAGTACACCATTCTGGGGTGAATATCTCCCAAAGAAAATGTGAGAGGATGCATTTTGCACCTAAACAGAGGTTTGCACTAATCTGGAGCCTGCACCCCTACATACTTCCCACCATGATGATAATGGACTAAATGTCTGAAACCACAAGCCAGCCCCAATTAAATGTTTTCCGTATAAAAGTTGCAGTGGGGCTGGAGAAATGACTCAGAGGTTAAGAGCACCAGCTGCTCTTCCAGAGGTCCTGAGTTCAAGTCCCTACAGCCACATGGTGACTCACAAAGATCTGGTGCCCTCTTCTGGCATGTGTATGCTAGCAGAACATTGTATACATGATAGATAGATAGATAGATAGATAGATAGATAGATAGATAGATAGATAGATAGATGATAGATAGATAGATGATAGATAGATAGATAGATAGATAGATAGATAGATAGATAGGCAGGCAGATAGATAAACAGAGTTGCGGTGGTCATGGTGTCTCTTAACAGCAATAGAAACCCTAAGACAGTATGAGATCTACTGGTGCTGAAGATATCCTACATCTGTGCTGGGAACTGAATACTTGTCTTGGGGAGTCTGACCATCGATGAATCAAGCAGGCAATTAGACAGGGGCAGAAACTCAGCTTTATTATTTGCAGGCATGAACCAACGCTTATGCTTGTTGAGTAGCTCTGGACATAATTTTCCCCACAGGTCTTGTAGGCTAGGTAACAGTGTGACCACCTGAGGATACTCTCTGTGTCCCATGCCCATTGAGGGGACTTTCCAACACAGTCAGACATGTTTACAGGAACAGACACCACTGGACAAATATTTTCAGGTAGTAATAAAAAAATTCCTTTCTTAGCAAATAGGATCTGTAGTGTGACCTTCAACCAGGCAGTCCTGGTAATCATTTTTTTTGAGGCAGCGTCCTGCAAGTGTTTGCTTTCCTAAGATAAGAGGCAGGGGTTTTAAACAAGCAGTCCGCATCCCAGAGTGAAGTTTGAACAGTCTACTTTTTACTTAATCCTATGGTTTCTAGGCAAGGATTACCGTTAGGCTTTCACAATCAGAGAGCTAATTTGATTTTGTTAGGTGCATCTGTACAGATGTGTGTGTATATGTGTTTGTGTGTGTGCACGCACGCCTGCGTTTATTTCCTTCTTCAGTATGAAGCAAGGGAATACAGTACAAGTTAGATTGAGGTAATGATCCTTCTTGGAATCCAAAAACTGGACCAACGGGAAGAATCGAACAGCAAAGAGGGAAAGAATGAGGCAGATGTGACAGAAGACAGCATTGAGATCTGACCTTTAATGTGGAGGAAGGGAAAATCCATGACTCAGCATGAAGACAGGAACCTAACCAACTAGTGCTGGAAGGGATGATAAGCAGGAAGTAGTCAGCATCTGAACTGCTTGAACTGGGGGGAAGGTTTTTGATTTTTGTCTTTATATTATTATTACGTGTATCTATTTAGTGTACCACGCATGAGGAGATCAGAGGACAACTTGCCAGTTCCTTCCACCGTTTGGATCTTGGGGCTGGAACTCAGATCATCAGGCTTGGTGACAGTACCTTTACCCACAGAGTCATCTTGCTAGCCCTGCGGGTGTAGAACTTTGTAACAGTGACTAACAGTCTCTCAGGAGGCCGTGGGGCAAGGAGGTCAAGGGGATCATTCTGAGTGCTGTAAAACAGAGAAACAAAGTTGTCCACCTTAGAGACAATAGCTATGGATAAAAGTATAATCGGTTTTCTTCCTATTGTGCTGCTGTCTTGCCTCCATCTTTGTAGGGCAAAATCACTAAAATATAAGTAACCTAGTATAATCTGAACTTCTTTGCTGCCTAAATTTCATTATATTTTTAAATTTGAGAACAAATTTATGTTGACTACAGTAATAGCTGTTAACTTTCAAGTGTACAGACTTCTACTTGCTTTGACTTCTGCTGCAACTACTTTTAAGTTTACATTTAAATTTCAGACTGTCTTGTAAAGGTTATTTAAAATGGCATCTAAAACCCAAAGCTTGAGTCGTATCTCTGTGAGTTTGAGACCAGCCTGGTCTACAGAGCAAGCTCCTGGACAGTCAGGGATACACAGAGAAGCCCTGTCTCAACAAAACAACAACAACAAAAAAACCCCAGTACCTATATTTTCCAATCTTGCTATTGCCCACATTGACTTCAAATTTATGACTGTATCAATACTCTAGATTTTGACTATACATCTCCATTTTATATATACACTATTTATGTAGTCAAAAAACCAGCAATCTATCAATCTACCATCTGTCTGTCTGTCTATCATCTACCTTCAGTTTTATTAAGCTAAAAATGACAAAAAAAAAAAAGCTTTTCTTTTTCTTTCCAGACAGAGTCTCTCTATGTAGCTCTGACTGTCCTGGAACTCTGCAGACCCAGGACAGTCTCAGACTCACAGGGATACTCCAGTCCCTGCTTCCCAAGTGAAGTGATCAAAGGTGTGCGCCACCACCTCCTGGCTGACAAAAAGTTCGTTATCTAAGTACAACTTGATGGATTTTTAAAACATTTTTACATGTATGTATGTGTGTTTGTGTATGTATATATGTCTATTGAATATAAAAACGGAAAAGAAAAGGGAACATGACTGCTCCTAGGTATGATGGAGGTTATATGTAGATTGAAAGGGGAGTGTAGTCAGGGATATGGATATCTGAGAGAGCCCAGAGTGGGTTTGGTTTGTTCAGACCGACTGGGCCCTGTGGAAAGGAGGAGGGAAGGAAGAGGGGAGAAAGGGGACCAGATGTAGGCACAAGGGAGGCATAAAGGTAGAAAGAGTCAAAGCGGGTGGGGGAGGTAATCAAAATGGTTAGATTATATAGGCATGAGCAGTCTAACCCCCTGGGCTGGAGAAGTTCAGGGTTGAGGGTGGGGTATGCCAACCAGGAGGGCCCTGTTAACAGGTAAGTGCTGAGGGAGGCAGGCAGAACTTGGCATCCAGGTATTCTTTGTTATGTTAAATAGGCACCTCAGCCATTTGTCCCAGGATTGAAATTCAACCTATACATGTGTGCAAGTTAGAGTACATCACGAAGAGCTTGGCTGATGAGTCATCTCTCCGGTCCAGACGTTAATGTTCTGTTTGATTGAGACAGGGTTGCTCTGTGTAGCCTTGGCTGTCCTGGAACGCACTCTCTAGACCAAGTTGGCCTGGAACTCATAGAGATCTGACTGCCTCCGCCTCCCAAGTGCTGGGATTAAAGGCATGTGCTGACAGAAGTTTCTGTTTTGCCCAATCCGGGCATGCCCACCACAGCTTGTTGTTTTAATATACACAGATATTTTACAGTAACTATAGCAACCAAGCTAATTAACATAGCCATCCTTCTTAAGAGCTACATTTGTTTTCTGTTGGTGAGAAAATTTGAGAGTGATATCTTTAGCAAATTTCAAGAATACAGTGCGGTATTGTGACCTATAATTGTGCTGTATGTCACATAGCTAGAATTTACTTGAATTGTATAAGTAGCACCCTGCTCCTTTCAGTAAAATCTCCATATACCACCACTCTCCCGAGCTGGCGGTAACTATCGTTCTCTTCCCTGCCCACATCCCACTTCTCCTTTCTGTTTGTTTTTCGAGGCAGGGTTTCTCTGTGAAGCCCTGGCATTGCCTCTGCAGACCAGGCTGGCCTCAAACCCAGACATCTGCCTGCTCCCCAAAAGCCAGCACTGCCTGGCCCTAAAATCCTTCTTATATTGTTGAAGTCATCACTGTTGGTCCAAATTAACCACCCAAATGGCAGTGCTAACAGAAGGACACCCAATGCCCTAACAGAAGGACTCAAAACAGGTGGGTAAACAAAAATCCAAATTCAGCTTGTCTTTACCAGGAAACTTGCTAAATCTTGCCTCCTGTGGGCAAGGTAATCTAGCTCCCTGTCAATCTGAACAGCCTGTATCAGCTCAAAGGCCCCACCTGGCTGTCATTAAATTCGCCTGATTTTACCCAGTAGCCTTAGCTGTTTGATTCCCGATAGACCTTTCTTTCCAGCAATGGAGTGATTCAGTTGGTGGTCTCACTACACCCACCCTGACAGTGGCAAGTGTAGACAAAAAGTATCATTTTTATAGCTCTCTCATGAAACACAGGAAGTTGAAAAATATTGGTCTGGTTTCAACATTTGCTAAAATTGGCCATAATGGGGTTAGTACTTGACTTCTGAGATTTGGTCCTGGAGATGGTTTCTCTGTGAAGCCCTCACTGTCCTGGAACTCTCTCTGTAGACCAGGCTGACTTTGAACTCACAGAGATCTGCTTGTCTCTGCCTCCTGAGTGCTGGAATTAAAGTCATGAGCCACCACCGCCTGGCTGCTTCTGAGAATCATTAAAAGAGCAAATGCCCACTAAAAATCCCATCTATACAATGTTAACTTGTGCAAGAGGCACGGCTGCACATGTTATCTCAGTGTCTTAGAGATTGGGACAGCAGGAAGACAAATTTGAGGGCAGCCTGGGACTAAACAGTGTATCTCTGGAGAGAAAAGGGAAGGCAATTATGTTGTATTACATTGTTTCACTTAATTGAGACAAAAGGTAAAATTGTACTACAAAAGTTCTACTCCAAAACAAAAAAACACTACAGCCTTACTAAGTAATTATCGCTTGGTAAAATAAAAACTCTAAAATTATAGATCTCAAACTTTAAAGACTTATGAAAAAAATGTTTTGTCCATCCATGAGAGGTATTTGTTTTTGCAGCTAACTTTCATTTTTTTATGAATTAATGAAATATAGACCAAGGGAGGTTAAAAGAAAGAACTATCATAAACAGAAGTTCTAATTTTGTACTTTGATCATGGGATCAGCATGAGGGTTCAGTAAAGGTATGGATAGTTGCAACAGCTTAGAACAATTTATAATTGTTACCATTTGACCTGTGGCTTTAACAGTTTCAGCGTCCTCTGTAAGTAAAAGGCTGAGTGACCCTACATTTGTGAAGAGACGCACAAAGGGCTATTATTACCATCTCTGGGTGGCTTGGGCAGTCATCAGGAGCTGTGGCAGTCATGACTGTCAAAGCCATGATGAAGTATCTCTGGGCTGGTTCGTTTCCCAATTTCAGTTAATCTTAAAAACATCTTCTGAAAGAAAGTTCAACATTGGATTGCCTTTGTCTTTTACTTTCTAAGTGTAAAATCCTACCTCCCTTTGAGTTCTTATCAATAACTTAACTTTAAGATGACATTCCAGCCCTTCTTTCACATCACAAACCTGTCCGACAGGAGGCGGTGACTGAACTACCACCCACAGGTGAACAACTCCACCTTGCCTGGACTCATTTCCACGCAGCCTTTCTCAACCCTGAATGCCGGCGTGTGGGGCTCGGGAGAACTCGGCAGAGATCGGAAGAACTCGGCGAGCAGGTGAGCGCCTCGCTCTTCGGCCGAGGCTGCGGACCGGCAGGCTCGGG